CATACTAACAAATCACACATAAAAACAATAAGTCAAATCAAAATACTTTTATTGACGGGTGTTACTTTATTTCACAATAGACAGTTTCGCTTCCTTCGCCTTTCCTACGCAGACTAACTCGCGGTTGCGCCGCTAGCCTTTTTATATGCAATTATTACTGCCATCTCGAGGTGATCGGAATACACTAGCTAGAACCATAACTTTCTCGAACCAACGCGGTAATTCCAAATATTTAATTACGCCTAATGCCACCTAGCGGGTAGCTGAGGAAGATAGTACATAGTACCATTCCTCGCCACTAGATGTCGTTAAGTGTCACAATACACAATAATAATTGAAATGCAAAAAAAGGGTAAGTTTGCTTAGGTCACGCACTTTGCGACTATCCTAATCTAGAAATATAGTTGAGGGCAGAAATTGGCCCTTGGAAAAACTGAAAAAATCGTTATGGCCCGAAGGCTTCAAAGTTTGGAGACCCCTGCTCTAATGCAATATCTTTTTGATATCTTTTCAGTTATTTTCTGAAACACAAATAAGATATTTCACATGTCAGATAATTCTAATTACAGACAGGATTCGTGGTATATCAAAAAAATTGTCATTTTAGGTACCGAATCTCCAACTCCATCTGCCACTGATCGTTTCCAATCTCCTGTTAGCGGAGCAGTGAGCAGACAACTATTTTCATCTATTCAACCAGGACAGTCTGTACTACAGAGGCATACACACATCAGTAAGTGCATGGTTTTGTAATTCAAAATTTTCTATAAAAACAAAAACTCAATTGAATTTCAATTGATGCTGATATTTAACATTTTTTCCGAAGTGATTACAGACAGAGAGGGGAACAAAAAATTGATTCCCATCGTAGATTCCACGTCGCAGTTGCCAAAACGAACTGGAAGTTTGTCGATTATTTTCAGAAAGGTAAGTAATCAAATGAAACCTCAAAAATCATGTAATCTTTTTGATCATGATGCGATTATTAGAATTATATGTTGAGGCATTTTAGCAAGGGGAGGTGTAGCTGAAAATTATCTGGAAAGGTTAAAAATTTTTCAAAAACACCTCTGGAAGTTGATATACAACAACTTTTTATATCCCACATGAAAATTGTTCAATGAAAGTAGAAAACTCAATATGAGACAATCATTTGAATTTTCTATTCAATTCCTTATTTACCTTCTATATTTTTAGTCTCATATATAAGAAATTATATACATGGAGATGAACAACGCACTGTTGATAGATGGATAGATAGATAATTTATTGACGTTTTTTACATTCATCAGTATTTACACAAGTCAATACAAACATATTAATAAAATTAGCATATTGTCAGGCATCTATTAATATTTACATAAACAATAGATTGTTACAATTCAACGAACAAGGTTTTTGTATACAAAATATTTATATCTTATACAGTACATCTGAGTTATGTCCACAAGCACATTTAAAAACAAAGTAGTAAAATTTAAANATTTCGGAGTGCTATGAATATTTTTAATTTGCTTCGGTAGATGGTTGAACATTTTCGTACCATTGTAAACAATTGAATTTTGGTATTGGGTGGTTCTGGGGACTGATAAAGGTATATATTGGCCATTTGCCCTAGTATTACGTGCAGTGTCAGATTTTAATAAATGTAGTTTATGCTTATGAACTAAACTAGTTGATTCTAGCACGAAAATTGATGTTAACGTGAGTATCCTCTGAGATGTAAATAAGGGTTTACATGAAGTTTGGTGATTAACATGGCATAAGTATCTCAGTGCTCTCTTTTGTAGCTTAAAGATCATTGAGAACAACGCTTGCGAGCAGGCTCCCCAAAATGCTATCCCATATCTGATGTGAGATTCCAGGAGAGCAAAGTAGGCTTTTCTAGCAATAAGATAACCGATGTCATTTCTAATAACTCTGATAGCATAACACCCAGAAGACAATTTCTCTGCCATTGCCATAATATGCTCATCAAATTTTAAATTATGGTCCAATACAACACCTAAGAATCTGTAATTATCAGTTTTCATAAGTGTATCATTATCTAATTGTATTTTGTCGATGTCCCATTTAAATGATAACACTTTAGTTTTCTTAGAGTTGATGATTCCATTTCAACTAACTGTCATATTTCTTAGGGTACTTCCTTGAGGTACCCCAAATTTTGCGTTAATAGGAGATGAGAGAACATTACCCACTTCAGTGATTTGTATTCGATCGCTTAAGTAGTCCTTAAACCATCCTAGCACTGTTCCTTTAAGACCTATAGCTTCCAATTTTTTCATTAATATATTACGGTCAATTGTCTCAAAAGCTCTTCTTAAGTCTAAGAATACTGTTACAACATAATCTCCGTTGTCAATAGATTGAGTCCATTTACTAATCGTAAGTTGTAAAGCCGTTTCACAAGAATGATTTTTCCTAAAACCGGATTGATTACTTATGAGAATATTATTGGCCTCAACATAACTTAGGAGCTGATCGTATACAGCCATTTCTAGTAGTTTCTCCATTCCTGGTAAGGTGTTTACTGGACGGAATTCTCCCGCTTTATTA